TGTGTTTTTATTACGTAAAATGGGAATGTTTTAATGCATGAGCGGGATATTTTGACTTTTTCTTTTAATATATTTAGGACAAATTTGGTATTTTTTATTAATTTTTTTATTATTTTAAATATTATTAAACAGCCAAGTTTTTACACTTATGTAATTCAGGTATTATTTTGCATCGAGGTAAGCATGCTCAAGCGCGTATCTTTTGAAATATGTGCATTTTTATGTAATTGAATTTAGCATAGAAAACGATAGTAAGAGGATTACTGGCTTGCGAAAGAGTTTGGATGCATTTGTTTGTTGTGTTGTTTTTTTTTATAAAATAGCACTACAACACTGCTGAGATATTATTTTAAAAACATTTATCTGTAAATATTGACACATTTTTGTATTATCTTAGTATTTTCTATTACGTGGGATGATGATTTGTACAGTTTTTCTTGCTATTGGAGTTGTGCTCCCAGGCGTATGAGTGACATTTTGAGTTTTAGATTAGCCATTATTTTTAAATCACAGAGAATATAGCAATTGTATTTTTTTTGCATTATTGTGTTTTGTTTGTGCTGAAGCTTGAGTTTGTTTTTTTTTTGTAGAGGTATTTTTTAGCGTAAATTTGCACATTGAAAAATTGAGACTCACAGTTGCTCTTGTTTTTGAAATTGTATGAACATGCAACTACATAAATACATGTTTAGGTATGTATGTAGCAGTTAAATTTATAATTTTTTCTTTACATATTTAAATTATTTCTAACGAGTCTCGCTGTATAAGTTATATAGTTAAACATTTACATTTATTCTCTGAGTAATCGGGTAAGGATTTTTTTGTGAGTAACGTATGTTTGTATGTGTATATGTATGTCAGTATATGTATATACTATATACTAACCTATAGTCGAATAACTTACATAAGTATGTACGTATATACGCAATGTTCTTTTAAACAATTTATATTTTTTTAAATAATACACACTTTCAACAATTCATTAAGTAACATTTTTGGTCCTAACTACCCTAATATTTATTCAAGGTACACACGACATATTCTTTTTATTAAAGTAGATTAAGAAACTTGTTCTATAATCTCTTTTTAAAAAGACATAAAAATAGTTTGTTTCTCAAAAACAAATTAACCACAAAATTTTTTTAACAAAAAGTCTTATTGAAATATTTTACTTTCTATTAAATTTTCTTATGTGTGTATATCTACAGTGCCTGGGTGCAGTGATCCCTTCCTCAAATGCACTTAAATTTAGTTTTCATAAAAAATCTAAAAATTAATATACATATATGTATGCATTTCATATTGAAGTCTAGCTGAAAATATTTGTGCTGTTTATAAAAAAAAAAGTGTTATTTGAGAAAATATGTAAACCTATATCAGTCTCGTAGGAATTAAGTATAGCTCGATCATGGGTGGTGTATAGAGAAGTTAGGTACATAAGTATGTTAGTAATTATAAATTTGTATATACAAAATGATACAAAAAAGAGAAATTAGGAAAATGCACTGTTTTATGTAACGTAGGCATTCTTTGTCAACGGAAGCAAGGTCATAAAATTTGTAAAAGATAAATAATTTTTAAAACAGAATGGCGTTTTCTGAAAGTCAAAATGCGGATCCAATATGGCGGCTAATTAAAAAAAATCATTAAATTTATCTGAAAATTGTTAATCGGAGGTTTTTCGAATGATTGCGAATCCGGTGTTAGTTTTCAAAATTTCAAAATGGCGGACCCAATACAACGGATAATTTTTCCAAATTCCTCGGCTCCCTCTAAATCTTGATTCTCGAAGTTTTTGGGGTTGCTGATTACGAATCTAATATTAGTTTTTTTCGAAATTAAAAATGGCGATGATTTAAAAAAAAAAAAATATTCAGATTCATTCGGAAATTTAAGTGAAAGGGCTTTGTGTCTTGCAGGGTTAACACTGTCATCATATTCAGTATAAGCTGCTGAATGAGTTTTCAAAATTAAATCTAACGCAGTCAGAGAAGATGGCATACACATTCGGTTTATATTATGAGCCCTGTAACACGTATAATTAACCACTGCGCTACTATATCCTGCTTCCCGGATTCGTGGAAAATCGCTTGCGTAAACTTGCTTGTTCTCCTAGTGATTTCCGTCTTATTAGTGTCTTCTCTCTTTATCGAAAGTGCTCGAGTCGGCGATGGCAGAACAAATCTCGTCACACATATCTGAAAATAATCTATTATCTCCTCTTTAGTCTGGCTTTAAAGCTTTAGAGCTTTTGTTTGCTTGGTTTTTCCAAAGCATTTGACTCATTTGACCATTCACTGTTTCGCTTCAAGCTCAAATTTTATTTCGGTAGTGTGAGTGAGTGAAAATTGGGTCGATAGCCTCGTAGATTAAGCTCTTGAAGTATGGTGTTCCCCAAGGTTCTTTCTTAAGTCCTTTGCTATTTAAAGCGTAATTATGCAACCATGCATGCGTATGCTGGCGATATTCAGCTTTATTTATCTGGTTCCTTTGATGGCATACGTAGATACGGTTGTTGTTAATTTAAACAATGATATAGATTCTATCTCCCGCTTAGCCACTCAAAACGGACTTTGTCTAAATCCTAAAAAAATCATTTCTTTTATCCGTGTATAAGAGAAAACAAATGCATAGATAATTGTTCTTTAAAGCTGGTCAGTAGAGTTACTAACTCAAGCGGCACTTGAGAACCGTTTGATTAAAAACTTGTTCTCACTTAACACAGTGAAAGAGTAGCTTTTTTGGATTTGGGCACTGGAAGAGCGGCTGTTTCATCTTTATTACACTCCAAAATTTTATTATCGTCTGTTTATAAAATTTGGTAGTGTCTGCGGTCATGGAAAAATTTTTAATTTTTAGAACTTTGTTAAAAGGATTACAGCATCGGTCTAAATAACTACCCTGGCTGTTTACGTTTCTTTGGTATTTCAATATATTGAAAAATAGTAATAACTTCAATAATAATAAAAATTTTTTCCATGAATATGCTTGAAGATTTGCAATATTAATTTTTAAAAGAATTATATGTTTACGACTAATATACATACGACCACATCCTTTAATTTCGTCCCCGTAAAATTAATTAAAATGACATTTATAATACCTATTAGGTATCCTAGTGAACCAAAAAAAATTATTTTCTATTTAATTTAGTACCCGTTTTGCTATTCTACATTGCACTGCATTTTTTAAATAATTTTTGGAAGTAATCATATGTTCGACATTTCAAAGTACTAAAAATAAATCTGACATCAGAGAGAAAAAGTATGAACGCAGTTTTCTATATTTGGCCTATAGTTTCGAGAGTTAATTTATTGTTTCGAATGGTTTGATTCTTTGTTTTTTTTTTTTGTTTTTGTCTCATGGTGTTATTCGACCATCTTTATAATAGTAATTTAAGCGAGGCTACCTTTGCCAAGGGCGCCAAATATTATAGTTATGTTTAGGCATTGAGTATAATTTGATATTGCTGTAAAGGAAAGTAGCCACAGAGTAGCTAATTTATGTAAGCCCGGTCAGCACTTCTAAATGGTACGTGGTAGCCACGATAGGCTTATTTTCTAAAAAAATTTATTCTAAAAAAGGAGTCCAACGCCAGACCAGACAATTGGCAATGGCTAATTCAATAAATTATTTGATTTATCAGAAGTATCTGTAAAAATAGGTGCGTAAGATAGTAAGAGTGCAAAAAGATTTTTCAATATAAAAAATTAAATTAAATTAAAAAAAAAATAGCTAAAAGGACGGTGATAAGATATTTTATGGAGCTAACTAGAGTAGGCTCGCGAAAACTGTAAGGCCTTTTGCTTAAATTGGGATGAGCAGGGGATAAGGCTTTTAATTCAAATCGAGTTTGAAGGAGGCAAACAATCTTTCTTTTTTTATAGTTTGTACAAACTTTATAGACGCATATCAAGTCGCACTATAACTTATAAGATTGATTTGTGAATGAGAAATATCAGGTTGGGCTGTTGAAATGGCAGAGAAGGTTACGTGAAAAAGCCTGTCGTAGCCTGCTATGTATAAAATGAGACTGAGAGCAAGCACCCTCACTGGTTATCCATGGTTTGAGAAGTTAGCAAAGTACCTGTGAGTGAGCTATTTGAGAAGTGCATATGTGAATGCGCCTATTTGCCTGGTTGAGTTAAAGCTGGTCAGTTTTTAGACGTTATTTGCGATAAGCCTTTGCGACTATAAGAAATTCATCAGTAGGCCAAAATACCAAAAAAAAAACCAAAAACCAACTGGTTAGTTCATACTTTTAATGGAAGAAGATTTCGTGATATTACATGCTAGTTATTTTAACCAGATTTTATTTATTCCTTTACACGTACTCTGCCGCTTTAGTTCGCAGTGTTACTTTATGTACACAATCGACTAAATGTTTTTAAATGCAAGTAAATTTAAAAAAAATTTCGATCTGTAGAAAAAATATATCTTTTAAGTATTTACATACTACACTATAACTAAAAAATTTTATGGAAAAATCAATAGCACTTTAAAAAATAGATAAATAATTTATATGTTTAAAAATGTACGCAAAAAGTATAATATGTTGCAAACAATAGGCATGAATATTTATTTTTAATTTTTTAATAGATATGTCGTGAGCATGATTGTGAATATGTATGTATGTGTAAGGTTTAAGGCCAATAAATAACAGGCTAAGCGCTTAGTAATCAACATATCCGCGATTTTTGTACTCTTTATATTATATACATGTATAATTCGGAAAAAATGTTGAAATTTAAAATTATTTTTTATACGCGTTTCTATAGTTCTCTCACAATATTGAGACTTCAGGTTTCAAGAATACTCCTATTACAAAATTTTGTTTCTATACAAAATTTTTCACGCGTAATTTTAATCAAAAATATAGTCACTTCGAACTAAACAAAAATAATAAAAACAAAATAATATTTTTTTTTTAAATTATTTAACTTTATTAAGTGAACTTATAAATTAAATTTTATTTAAAAAATACATTACATGCATGAAGATCATTTTTATTAAGTTAATAGGTAGGAAAATAAGTATTTATGCAGGTGTGAGTAAAATCAAATGCGACTTAACTAAATAATAAATGCAAACTTAAAAGCAACATTAAATTCTAATTAAATGCTACTTGAGTGTAGTAAACAAAATGAGGAAACACATGTTACAAAAGTCAAAAAGAATGCAAAGCTAGTAACAAAAAAAGTAATTGAGTCACTTAGTAGAGTGTCTTGCCAACTGCGACCGTGACTGTGACTGTGAGGATACATGTCTATGTATGTAAGTAGAGCGTAGCTGGGAAGTCGGCTTATTTACTTTTTATCACAATTACGTATGAAAAATTTCTTTAACTGCTAGAAACCGCCACGCCCACCGCCACTGCGCCCTGAGCCAGCCGCACCACCACCACTCGAACCGAATGCGCTTCGCGGCACAAGTATGCGCGGCAACGTCAGCGATCGCTTAGGTATGCAATGCTTGAGCGGCGAAAATGGCTTCGAGCGCAATTGTTCTTCTGAGGTGCTCAACTTGCAGTCCCTTTCGTTGGGCTCTATCGCCATCTCTGTCACCTTCACCTCCACAGGAGGTGGTGGCTTTTCCTCTACTACTTGCTCTCTTGCTGGCGTTGTCCTTTGTAAGCAATCGCATTCATCCTCCTCCTCCTCCACTGCATAGTCATCCATGTCGGCGTCGAATGAGGCAATGGGCGCTGTGGCTGCAATAACGGCCAGCGTAGCAGTAGAGCCTCCAAAAGATGGCCATTGTCACGCGTATGACTGTGCAGTCTGCGGCATAACACCGTGCGCATAGGGCGCACCACTACCGTGCGCGTCAAGACCATTACCCGCGCTGCCGCCGCGCTCCACCAGATTTTTAAGCCGACCGCGTAGCTCCTCCAGGCTTTTCGACTTTGCCTTGTTGATGCGTTTGTATTTCACGTCCTTTGGTTTAGTCACCGAGCGATGGTTGGACATGACGCGATTGTAGTTCGTCACCTGCGATTTGACGCCGGTCGAACTGCCATCGACGTCAGCGCCAGCCAGCGCACTGATTCTCTCCGTGGTCGGTGTGGCAGCTGTAGTGCGCAACTGCGGCACCATGACGCTGTAGGCGGTGTAACCATCTTCCTTTTTCGGTGACTCAAGCGGTTGTGAGATGCTGAGTTGACGTTGCGGCGAGGGCGGTGTGATGCGCACATTTTCTTTCGCACGCTCTGGCTGAGTGATGTTCGCTGCTGCATGTGGCGTCGCATGCGAAGAGTTGCTGTCGATTTGTCCTTCTGTTGAACTCGAACTCAGCGCCTTCTCCGAGCGAGTTCGGAACTTATCACGCTTCTCTGCCACATCTGATGTCGGCTCCGGATCCTCCTCCACCGAGTAGACAGTCTCCAATATTTCCGGTCGTCGCAGGAAGCAGTTGTTACGTCGTACGCCACTGTACTTGTTCAAATTCGTCTCAATGGCATCGGAAATGGAACGCACAATGGTGATGCTATCACCAGCACTTTGACCCGTGCCGGAGCCGTAGCCACCGCCACTGCTGCGACGACGTGCGCCAAACGGCATATTGCTGCTATCCGAATCGATATCTTCCAGCACCACTGCCGAGTCGGAGTCGTTAAGCGAATCCAGCTCCGTGGTGTAGTTTGCCTCGATAGCGTCCAGTCCATGATCCGACAGTCGATTCGAAAGCGTGTCGATAATCTTTTGCTGCCGCTGTATAGTGAATTCGCGATGGCTGAGTAAGCTCGCAATCTGTTTTTGCTTCCGCTTTAGCCGCGATTCGAGTAATAGAAGTTGCGAGGTCAGCGTATTCATCTGATCTGTCTTCTCCTTCTGGTAGCGGTATTGTTGTTGTATCTGCGGATGAACGATATTGCGAATGAGTAACTGAATATACATTTACATATGTACGTTATCTAAACAGAGTTTTCAGTTTAAACTCACCTGCAGCGCATATGCCTTCCTCCACTTCATGATGTGCTCTGCCTGATAGCGTACCTTCGTACGCAACTCCTCGATCATGAGTCGCGCTGTATGCAGGTCTTTTGGATTCTGATTCATCATATTTAAGCGCAGATTGCTGGTGTGCGTGCTCACCGGCACGGGGGGCCAGTGAAATTCCGTTTGTAGCGGTTGGTTTACGTCATTCGGTAATGAGCCGCGCGGTTTTGGTGTCAGTGGTTTTTTGGTCACGTCACTGATAGCTGCAGCTAAAGCTCCTACTCCGCCACTCATGCTGCTATTGCTGCCACTATTGCTGCCACCACCGCCACTGCTACCCAGTTGGCTGTCAATGTTGTTGCTGCTGTTATTGGCTGATGCCAACGCCGTCACTGCCATTGCGTGTGGTGTAGTTACTGTTACAGTTGCAGATGCCGCTGAGTGTTGTTGTGATTGTGTGGGTTGCTTTTGTACGCTGCATGCCATTGTTATAGTTTTAGCAAGTTGCGTTGCACGTTGCGCTGCATACATTTAGGCGCGCGCTTCAATTACACTCTACGTTAGTGTGTTGAAACTGTTGGCTGGTTGGTGTGTATGTAGGTTTGTGCGTGCATGCGTGTGTATGCAAATATTTGCTGCGCTGTGTTCGTTGCGGGACTGACATGGATTGATGCTGGAAAGAAAAGACGAAAAATCTTTTTTTAGAGATTGACGCTGACTAGATATTGTGCAAACAATTGAAGGATGCGCAATTTTGTAAAGTTGTGCAGGTTTTAAACGAAAATCTGTGCATGTGCATGGCTAAAAACAACTAAGCTACTGTTTGAACAAAACAGTTACTATCTAATTTGAGTTATTATTATTTTTTTTTTTCATTTTGAGAAGTTGTACTCACAGAGTAGAGACTCAATCTAATACATATACGTCCTTAATTACAATAATCTACTTAACTTTGTCTGAAAATAATTTAAGTAGTGGAAGTCTAAATTGTATAAGTCGGTGTGTAATTTCATGGTTCCTGCTCGAAGCTTCCAAGAACACAAGGGTATCGAAACCCTCAGTAAGCTACGCACGTAGTAGCCCTTAATCCGACCGCAGTCATAACAGCGCGATTCTGGCTAAGATATTAAAAAGCCCTTCGTACGAGAAATGCAAGACAGCTGAAATGATAGTTCGAAAGGCCTCTTGTTATTCCAGCACACAAGTCTTAGAAAAAAGCTCTCTCGTTTACCACTCGTGGCGAAAAACTATTTTAAGAGAAAGCACTTTTTTATTAGCTCGCGGCAACAGTCGCAATGGCCGAGTGAGCTAAGCACAAGCATGCCATTCGTGCTATCCGAGTTCGAGTCCTCGGGCAGAGGAGCTTTTTTATTTTTTAAATTATTATTATGTATTATTTTCACTTATTTTTTATATTTGATTGGTTTAAAAGGACAAATATATTTCTTTCATTTGTTTTAATTTTAGAACTAATATTTTCCCCCCTTTAATATTTCTTTTTTGTAGCTTCGTTTTCTTCTAATTTTTAAATTTTATTGCTTAAAAGGCTGTTTGCAGCTCTCAAGAAAAATCACAAGAAATATTTTTCATTATTTCTGTTTGTTGAAATATTACTTTGCTTTTCTTGAAGAAATAAATATTCCAGCATTTTTTTCTTGAGAGCTGATTTAAGAAATTTTGATAGAAGAAAAGATTGTTTCCATTTCTTGTGCGTCATTTTATATAAACTTTTCGTAAAAAAATTTTTATTTTTAAATTTCATTTAATTTTTAGAATTTTATTTTATTTATTAAGTACTTCTTTTTAATTTCATTGGGTTTTCTTTTGTTTATTTCATTTTTCTATAATTTTTGTATTGTGTTGTTTTAAAAGGAAAAATATACATATTTGTTTTATTACATTTAATTTTTACCGAACTATTTTATTTGTTTCATTTTTAAATTATTAGTTTCTCTTTTTATGTTAAATTTTCTTTTAAATTTTATATTATATTGTTTAGAAAGGAAAAACATTTTTTAATTTCATTCGAATTTTGGAATTTTAATATTTTTTTTTTATTAAATTTGTTTTCCTTGTATTAATTTTATTTTCTTTTAATCTTTATATTTTACTGATTTAATAAAATAAAATAAAAATAAAAATATTCCTTTTATTTCACTTAGAGAAAAAAATACATATTATTTTTAAAACAAAATCTTAAAATTGTAAGAAAATTCAATTAAAAAAGACAAAAAAAAAATAAATTAGATTTAGGATCATAGTTCCATATTATTGCATAGTATTTTACTTTCTCACTGACTTTTGCAGCTCTGTAATGTTGTACGAAAAATTGAATTGTTTTTACGCTTTGCAACCCTGTAATGTAAAACTGAACATTGCTTTTTGTAATAAACTCTCTCTTGAATTCTGAACTTTAAAGAAAAGACACGCGGTTTTTAACTTAACCTGAATTTTATAACAAGGTTCGTATTACTATTAATGTCTTCGCAACAATCATATTTTTTAATGTTTTTGCCTTTTTTAAATTTAAATTTCTTATTATTTTCAGTTTTTTTTTTTCAAAAAACACTATTCATTCATTCATTCTGTACTTTCTTTTTTGATCAAATTTTTTTCTCTTTCTAATTCAATTGTTAAATTTTATTGTTTTAAAAAGAAAAACATATATTTTATTTTTATTTTTATTTTTATTTATTTTTTGAAACTATTTTTACTCAGTTGTTCTTTATTTTCATTTTACATATATGTACTTTTATTTTTATTTTTTTATTTATTAGTTTTGAATGTATTAAAAAAATATATACATATATATATATATATATATATATATATTAGGGCTGTGCGATTATTCGATTACTCGAGCAAGTTGGTTAATCAATTGTTCGGTTAATAAATTACTCGAGTAATCAAGATTTTGATTACTCAAAACGATGATTAATCGAGTTACTTGAAATACGATTACTCAAAAAAAATAATTTTGCTCGTTAAAAGAATTTGCTTTGGAAAATGCTTATTTTCTTTTTTACATTCTGTATATGAAAAAAAATTTTCGTTTTAATTTTTGAAAACAGAAACTTTAACTCCTTTATACATATGTAAAGAGTTGGAATGTTGATTACTCATTTTACTCGAAATGTTGATTAATCATAAAGCAAATTACT